TATCGCTATCACTTCTTGCTGTTTGCTTAATCCAATCAACAGCAGATGGCTGTGCTTTGCTGCTGCTGCTACCACTGCCGCTTCCTCGTGCAGAACCAGATCCCTTTGTTTTTATTTTATTTTTAACGTTCGATATTTTACTCCATAAACCCCCAGCATTGGGAGAACCAGGAGGAGCTAGCAGTCCTGCGCTCACGCGGTACGGGCTGGGGGCCCCTCCACCAACACTCTGCATCCTACCAGGGGTAGCTGCAGCAGCAGGCGTCGATAAGAGGGGGCCCCCTGAAGCAGATGAGGTGCCCCCCTGTGCGCCCCCGCCTGAGCGTGTACCAAGGGGGCCCCCTGCATGCATCAAGGGCCCCTGCTGCTTCTCCGGGTCATCGAGTCGTCTGGGTTTGCTGAACTGCAAGGGGGAGTGTGGGAGTTTCTGCGGCGTTTCCTTTGCAGCTCTTCTTCTAAGGAAGCTGACGAAGGATCTAGGCTGTCTATTTGCTGCTGGAGTGTTGGATGAATGTCCTGCAGCAGCAGCAGCAGCAGCAGCAGCAGCAGAGTTTCTGTTGTTGTATGATGGATCATAACCTAAGAGTAGCTGCGACTCGGATGCCCCTCTTCGTTTACTTTTTCCGTGGCCCCATAACCCTTTAGCTGCTAGATCAAAAGAAGTTGCAGTATAGTATCGTCTGAGTAGCCATTTATCTTGTTCGTTATCGAACTCTCTAGCAACAGCCATAACAGCTGCAGCAGCAGCTTCAAATGCAACACGATCCCGGGATCTTTCTGTTGCTTCTTTCATCTGAACTGCCTGCCTCTTTGCTTTCAGGTGTCTATGACGCATGTAAGAAGAAAACTCTACCAATTCATGCAGCTCGCGCCGACCAAACAAATCATGAGCCACATCTGTCTCAGGCACAGTAGATCGGCCTGGTACCCTCCCTGCTGTACCTCCAACTGCAGCAGCAGCAGCAGCAACTACAGCAGGAGATGCTGNCGGCCTGGTACCCTCCCTGCTGTACCTCCAACTGCAGCAGCAGCAGCAGCAACTACAGCAGGAGATGCTGCTCCAGCTCCCCCAACAGCACCACCACCTGCACCTCCTGCTGCACCTGCCGTCGGCTGCGAGGCACTCTTACCAGCAGCACCATCCCCTCCGCCTCCACCCCCCCCTGGTGGTGGTGGTCCCCCCTGTTTGTTGCCGCTTCCCTGCGGCCCTTCAGATGCCCCGTTACGAGGCAGCTGCGAGGCGGGGGGGGCCCCCCTGGGGGCCCCCCTGCTCGCCTGGTTGTCCCCGGCCCTGCGTGACCACCTGCGGGCGGCCCAGAGAGAGGCCTTGACACCCCTTCCTGCTTTTGCTTTCCTTGCAGCTGTAGCTGGCGCTGGGTCTGTGCTTCTGTTGTTGGGTCCGATATATGTCAGAAGCTCTTCTATAGACTGTTGCCTTTCAGCAGCACAAGCCGCTGCCTCTTCATCCTCATCTACTTCTTCTTCCTCTTCCTCCTCCTCCTCATCATCGTCTGCATCCTGTTGTTGCTGTCGTTGTTTCTGAGCTTGTCTACGTCCATACAGTTTTCTTTTTTGTTCCTGTTTGTTACGTTCAACTCTGTCCCGCTGCATTTGTTGTTTTTGTAGTTTTCGCTGCTGTATTTGTTGCTGTTCTTGCAGCTGTCTTACTTCCTCCGCCTCCGCTGCTCTGCGGCTTGTATCCGGCCAGAAGTTGAATTCATGTCGAAGCCGCTGCCCCAGGGGGTTCATGCCATGGGTTCTGCCATGGGTTCTGCTACCAGGTGATGAAATACCAGGAAAATACGGGTGCGGGAGTCGAACGCGTGCGGGCCTGGATGAGTTGCCTGCATTTCTTCCTGTAAGGTCATCAGGCGCAGATCTCCATGTAGCAAGCGGAGCATCTCCATCGAGTTCAAGTTGATTCAGAGTTGTCTGTACACCGCAGACGTCTTCTTCTAAGCCTAATAAACCCCCACTAAACGTGGGGCATCTCCCCGGCTCAGAACCAGGGAAAGGTGGAGGCCCAAAGGAATCAAGCTGCACCTGTCTATACAGCGTAGGATGCAGCTGCTGGTTGTGTAGTGCATCGTTTGAATGAATAAATACACAACATTTGAATGCATCTGGCACTCCCGCCCATATTTCAACTCGTAATACATCTCTTACTTGCGCCGCCGTCCATGGGTGATGGCTTAGAGCTGCAGCAGATAGATGCGAAGCAGCAGGAACCCCAAACAAAGAAGTAAAACGATTCGTTCCTGATGCTGCTGCTGCAGCAGCCGCAGCAGCACTTGTGCTATGTGCAGCCCGACCAGAAGCAGGCGTGTTTCCGCTGCCTGCTGCAGCAGCTGCTGCTGCTGAGGATCCTGGTGCTGATGCAGCAAGGCCTGCAGCAGCAGCTGCTGCTGCTGCTCCTGCTGCTGCTAGATCTGCCTCAACAGCAGCAACAGCAGGAGATATATCTGAAGGAACGTAAGGCAACAGGTGCTCCTTGAAGATACTCTCCCCCTTCGCTTGCCATGCCTTCAGCTCATCTTGATCTAGGTGCCGCCATTTACTATATCTGTCGACGAGTACCCACGGTTGTAGGTACCGTCGAGCTGTAGCAGCAGTTGCTTCTGCACGAGCTGCTGCTGTTGCTGCAGCTGCTGCTGCTGCTGCTGTTGCTGCTGCTGCCACACGATTCGAAACGGATAACGCACCCGCAGCAGGAACCTGGGCCTGAAGCCCCTGCCCCAGCGCAGAAGGCGTGCTGCGTTCTCCTGGTGCCTTGCTCGGTGTTGAGCCACCAACACTCCGCTGCATGACGTTCGTTCAGTTTGAGGGTTTAGGGTTTACAGTGCTGCAAGGTAGGCGATTGCAACGGGCCCCTACAACAACAGCCTTCACTAGGGGAAGGCAGCAAGGAGCGCAGGTCAGCGGCTGCATGCAACAGCCGCGGCAGCTGCTCAGCACACATACGCATTCAACAAGAATGAACGCAAGAGCCGCAGCAGCAGAAGCGGCAGCGGCAGCAGCTGCAGCAGCACTACTGGAGATGGCAGCCGCGGGCCAGGCCCTTGAGCGGGGCAACAAAGGGAGAAGGAAGAAGCAAAGAGGCTGGAAGCTGCGGTGTCACTACACCTCGATACTGATTCCTCTGCACTGCGGTCTGGTAGTAGGCGGGTTGTTTCAGCTGTTGTGTAAATACAAATGGGGAGCGACAGCTGCGTTGCTGCTGAGGCCACTGACAAAGGGCTCATACATGCAGCTTGTAATAGAACTCGATAACTGTGATGAGGAAAGAAGAAGGAGTCAAAGACAAAGAACAACGCCAGCGTCCTCTACAGGAGCTCTACCGGTTGAACTGTATTGCATGCCGGCTGACGTATTCAGGGAAAAAAGCAGCCAAAGTTTAGTGAAAAAGGGAAGGAGAGGTGAATATAAAGTTAAAGAAAAAGTTTTAGGGAAATATAAATGTAGCATCCGCGCGCAATTGCGGCGAAACCCAAAATTCAACTTGAACAACAACTACAACAACATGCAGCTGGAACGACAAAGGAGCCGCCAAGTTGTTGTATGGGCTTTGTTGCAGCACCTCTTATGAAACCAAATTAAAATTCCCTTTCAAAAGCATCAGTTTATCTAAATTTAATAGAATATAACATTTCCTTTCTACAGAAAGATTTACAGCCAACGCCGCTTCAGCCTTCATTCAGGCTCACGGCGACGCAATCACCGTACCTGCGTGTACACCCGAGATAAGGGGTCATAAACCCCTCTATTGCTTCGTAATACTTCATTTTAATTATAGTTTAGAATCACCTTTTCGCCTTCGTCCCACCTTCCTATGACCCCCCAAGCTAACAACCCCGCCTCCAGCCCTTCAGCTCCCGTACTCAGGAGCCGTGTAACCACTTGAACGATAGAAGGAAACCCCAGAAATATCATTCTTAACTGTTCTGTAGCTACACTGCATACTCCTCTTCACAACAAACAGTGCTCACCCACTATATAGGGCCAGTTAAACCCTCAGTTGCTCGCGCGGTTCGTTGTTACTTAAACAATACTGCGATCCCTTCAAATGCAGATCAACCCTATACTGCTGAGACAGCTTCTGTTGCAGCATATTCGGCTGCAGGCGTTTCAACTTAAGTATGAGATGCAGCCGCAGCTGATCTATCAAGATATCCTGCTTACGCCCTCCTCGAGCCGCTCTACCCAGAGGAAACTACTACTTAATGCGTTTATTATATATATATATATANTATATATATATATATATATATATATATATATATATATATATATATATATATTGGGTTATATATATAACCCAAAGGAAACTCCTATTTAATGCGTGTATATAGGCGGAAGTCAACACATAAGTGCTCTGTGGTGTTGCCGTTGCATTGGAACAGCTTTTTGTATTTTTTTTGTTCTGTCGTTGCAGGGTACGGCCTTCGTGTTTACCAGTTTGCGCTGGGAATAAAAAAAAGAGAAAATGCGGGGCCGCCGTTTAAATTGTTCACTTAGGCTATGAACAGCCTCGCAGGTGTACAAAAGGAGTGTGCTAGTAACATACCCTCCATACACCTGG